GTAACTGCATATTGTTATGGAGGTTGGTGTAGAGGTGAAGAATGCTACTAGGAGATAGCATAGTCTGAATAACTAACGCCAGTGCAGACAGGGTTTGAAGCAAGTCCAGAAGGGGGCCGATCGGAATTTGTGTGAATGGACGATGTCGCAGAGATTCCGAGAGAAGGGCAGCCCGGAGGCGATGTCCCGGTGTGTCCGTTTCCACGGAATGCCTCAACCCGCACCTGATAGTATCGAATATAGCCACTAGTTCCCAGTGCGCAAACGCAAGCGGCAACGTGCGTTGTCGCGGAACGGGGCGCAGATTTGATAAAGCAACACTAACCTTGGCCTCTGCTGCGTTCCTAAAGTCCGTCTCACTATACATGAAAAGAAAAAGAAAGGGAGGGGAGGGTGGGCGAAGAGAAATGCTGCACTGAGTTGACGTAGTCACTACAGTACCGCCCTGTTTGGAGAGTCAAAAAGGAACGTGACATAGCCAGGGACATCAGTGGCAACAAACCCGCTTGTTTCGGGTGATCAACTAGAACAAGGCGCGTGTGGTGAACAGCATCGCGGTTCACTCGAAGTGCCATATTTGACGTGTGCGGAGGTAATTCGGTGTTTGCTCGTTTCCCTCGCGTCCTTGTTCTCCATTGAGAAGGTGAGATCCAGCGAAAGGTAGTCGGCGGGGTCTGCAAAGACGGTGGATTTGAGTTGCGGCGGCAGCTGAAAGGTGATAAGGCTGGACACGGGCAGGGATTTGGGGGGCATCGAAAGCTTTTCCGGCCCATCCGGCATCGTGAGAGGGTCATTGCGAAGGGAGGCACTATGGCGCAATTTTGATCTTAACCCTTTTCTCTTAGCCCAACATTTCACAATTCGTAGAATACTAAGATTAGTGTGCAGTACAACCTCTCTATGCTTGTATCTACTGGGCCAGGCACGTATACGTCCAAATGGGAGCCGAATAGTAAAGGCCGTGTCAAGAAGACTTCTATGTTCCAGATGCCACGGAGCCGAATAAAAACTCTGGCTATTTAATACACGTCAATCGCCAGGTGAAACCAGCGCTCGCCCTTCCATCGAAGATGCGCGTCCTCTTCCTGCTCGCTGCCGGCAACACACTCCTTGCCTCTGCATTCTTCATTCCGAGCACCGACGCGGCGGCACAACGGAATTTCAACACCATCTTCGACGAGGCAGACCAGCGCATCCTGGTCGCTCCTCCGCACCAGTTCATCCAAGCCGGCCCCAACGACCGCCGTGGCCCATGCCCCGGTCTCAACTCTCTCGCCAATCACGGGTTCATCTCGCGGACCGGTGTCGACTCATTCGTTAACATCGTCGCGGCTTGCAACCAAGTCTATAGAATGGGCACAGCCGCTTCGACGGCCGCCGCCGTCCTTGGTATGTTCGGCGGCAATCTACTCGATCCTACGCTCCCCCTTTCTATTGGCGAGCCGCCGAGCATTATTGGCCTCCCTGGTCCTCTCGGTATGCGGTCTGCTTCGGCAGACGATTCTGGTTCCTGACAAGTCGCAGCCCCGCCTACCGGTCTCACCAACACCCACAATCAGTTCGAGTGCGATGCTTCTCTCACGCGATGCGACTTGTATCTCTGGTGCGTCCCCCATTCACGTTCCTCCACCAAGTTGAGCCGTACTGACTTCGCGTTGCAGCAACGACAGTCACACTCTGCAGCCCAAATATCTCGAGCCGCTGCTAGATATGTACACTGCAGACCCGAGCATTGCCAACAGCGTTGCAATCGTGAGCCAACACCACGCCAACCGCATTGCGGACTCTATCGCAAACAATGGGCTCTTCTTCTTCGGACCGGTGCAAATGGTAAGCAATCACTCATTCCGGCGTTCGAGTACTCCCATAACGATTTGAAAGATTGTGGGAGCATTCACGGCGCTGCAAGCCCCGTCGCTCTTCGCGAACTACTCCGCCGAGCAGCCAGAGGGATTCATGAGCGTCGCAGGGCTCATGTCGATTTACGGCGTGTCCCGCGCTGCCAGCGGCACGCTCACCTGGACCCGCGGGTCCGAGCGCATCCCCGACGTATACTACCGCCGCCCCGGCCCCCTGCTCAACCAGTGGGACATGCCCATCATCCTCCCGCAGGTGCTTCAGATGTGGGCGCAGTTCCCCGAGACGCTCTCCATCGGCGGCAACCTCGGCACGCCGAACACGTTCTTCCCGCTCGACCTCGGCGCGTTCACGAACGGCTCGTACACGCTCGACGACCTGCAGAAGCCAGGCGGGATCAACCTCCTCTGCTTCTTGTACCAGCTCGTGCAGATCCTGTTTCCGGCTCTGCTCGGGAACGTCGACGATTTGCTGGCCGGGGTGTTCGCGGAGGTCGGACGCGTTACGGAGGGCGTCTTGGGCACGTTCGACTGTCCCCGCTCGATGGACGCGGTGAACATGACCATGCTGAATCAGTACCCCGGCTGGGTCAAGTCGCTGCCGAAGACTAAAGCGGCTCTCCCTACCGATCAATCTTATATGCAGCAGTCGCACCTCGGTCGTTCACCCCTTGAAGTGCCCGTCTGAGGTACGAGTTTCTCTCTCTTTATTTGTTATCCATTCCATTAGGTATTGAATATAGTCGCTCACTCCTGGGAGTGCCCGTCCGAGTTTCACTTCGTTATGAGCCCCGCGCGCGACGATTCAATCTGTACTTGAACTCCATTTGAGTCAATGACGCTATATATACTTGCAACGTTACATGTAACTGTCGATATGGCCGCGAATCTACCGAACGCACCAATTCTTGCTGAGGCGGACAATTTTGACGGGTACAAAGTGGCCGACGTTCATGTAATTTATATGCCCTCACTTATATGAAATGATAGTCGGAGTAGTCTGCCGGAGTTTAATGTTGAATTTTGATTCATAGAATCAATGGTGTGGAAGCTTGGCGCGCTCGTGGATATGTGCGTTCAACACCGCTATGCGCGTTCAACACTAATATGCGCCTTCAACACTAATATGCGCCTTCAACACGCCACGATCGAGTTCCTCACTGGGCACTGGCGGCGTCTGGCGCCCGAAGAATTTTATTTACCAGCATATCATTTTTATTCACTCTATCCATTATTACTTTAACCATCTATCATTTTTCATTATAGATTTTGCCTCTCTCGACGTTCGTGCTCAAGAACGAAATGCCTTCGGTATGATGAGCACGTGACCTCGTGGCGCGCGTGCGCACGAGACTTGGCCGACATCAACTTTAGTTAACCGGATCATTTACGCACCATGGCACAAGCACAAATCGCAGAGTTGACACAGACCATTATGATTCCGGTCGAGCATGGAGAAATGTATAAATGACCATTTCGTTCTGCAGTAACACTGGTTGCGAACATCACGTGTATGGTTCAAGCTTCATGCGCCGCCACTGTGCTGTCTATCCGATTTCCCCTCTATCGCCGTGCTGCCTCATTTCGGGATTTCACCAATTTCAATACTGCATGGTCACTTTTTCTGTCCAACATGGAAGCACCATTCATAATTGGCATGGTACCTCTCCCGACCACAGGCTCGAAATAAATCCAGAGGGGGGCATATAATCTGCCCCTACCAATTTCAGGTGCGTAACTTGGAAAGCAAGCACAGAAAGGAACATTTAACTTGACATCTGTACCCAATTTTGCATGCAGTGTATTGGTTCTTTGTCACTGTAATGCTCTTCGGGTTGTTTTCCACGACTGACCCGTTGAGATGTGCCATGTCGGCGCTGTTGAGCGGTAATATATTCCCACTACCGTAAGGTACGGATTTCTATAGGGCGCATGATTTTTGGATTTTGGCCGTGCATCACATTTTCATTACAAGGACAAACAAAACTTAGCAATAGAGAATTGTTTGAACAAGATCTCAACTCCCACTTAGAGTCCTGTATCTACTGTCTGGTTTATTTTCTTGTGTTTTTTTTTTGGTTGAATATTTGTTAGTGTGTAAATCCACTGCACCGAATTTGTCATTTTTGCTTAGTAGTTCAACTCTCACATCACGGCCATCAGTTGCCATGTGAACACAACCGACAAAATGCCCTCAGCGGCACTATGTTCGGATCAAGCCGTCAGATGCATCAGCTGTTTGGCAGATCCGAACTGATATGCGGCATGACAGGTGCGACAAGATCAAAAATTTAAGGGGGTTGTGGCCGCCATTTCTTGCTTAACTCGTTAGCTGTTTCTGGATTTTTTTCTCTTCACTTTTTGATGATAGCGGTGTTCTTGCTTCTCGTGAAATTTCGCAAAGGATCCGCGTAATCAGCTTCAATGACCGCAGGCGCTTCACGTACGTGCCCTCCGTTTCTCCCAGTTCATTGATAGTTAAGACGAGCGCCGAGGAATCTGTCAACGCGCGTTTCCGCTGGCTGACGCGACCCTAAAGATTCAAGTCAGTAGGCATGATAGGAGATCCATTTGGCACAACAGGGGACACAGATTCACGACGTGTTCGTGAGCATATATTAGAGAGACCCCGCTCGACGTGAAACCATTGCAAGGCCACGTTCCAACAGGAGTCCAATAGACTCACTGAGTTGTCTGTACCGGGATCTGGCGTTGCGGAGAGAATATCGGTATCTGAGCCGGAGGCCACTGTCTCTCCCAGGAATAGCACAAGATCCTGGATGCCTGCCACGAAAGTGAGTGAACCCATTTGAATATTCTGGAAATCGGACTTTCAGGAAGCCTTCTGCCACTCTCGGAGCCTTCTACTACGACGCCGCAGAAGAAAACGCGTCTCGTCAGACCTGGAGCAATCGACTCGCAGCGAGAGCGGTTCGAAAGGGGGATGACCTTGCGCGGGGATGTGCTGAGGGCCATGGGTGCCACAGGGTCAGGTCAGTAAGAGAGATTGAGCATCTGTGAGTTGCTGCGTTTGGAAGCAACTTTGAATTGCGCTAAGACACAAATACATAGAGAAATCCATATTCCCCGAGGTGGACTGTGTTTCTGAGTCGGATTATTGTCCAACTGGGGCATACTCTTTCGGTCCGCGTCGATTAGTGGTTAAATCACCTCGTTGTGGTAAAAAATGCACTACGCTTATCCGAGGAGCCGGGTGTTCGATCCACCCCGCAGACATTATATCGCGTTTCGTTTTTTTGACTGTCAGTGGCTATCTTGTTGCATTTCTTTGCACGAATTGTGCAGAAGAAACCTCTGCAGCACATATTAAAGCGCTAGCGTGAACGAGTTTTCATCGCGACGGAGCTCGAGCAGATTGATTCAATTGCAAGCAACCCTGGTTTTTTTTTTTTGACTCATGTCGTGTCTGAGTGACTGCTAGTGAGTCGTGTATGCCACTTGTAGCCAACAGGCAGCATCCGAGTCTTTTGGCGCACGACAGGTCTGCAGAGTTCGTGCAAGCACTCTAAATTATCCAGATACCTTAACGTCTCTGAAGGATATGGCCGCGAGTGCACCCAAAACGGCGAGCCTTAGACAGGCTCTAGACATGCAATTAACTTTTCTTGGGACGGCCGCCGCTCAACGCTCGTCAACGCGCAGCCATTCGTCTCTTGCTCTGCGGCTGGGCGGTGATGTCTGGCTGTTTGACTGTGGCGGTACGCAGAATCTCGGTCCTGAATCTGCTTCCTCATGTACCGCAGAAGGAACACAGAGGCAGTTGCAGATAGTCTCTGTAACAGACTTAAGTATTTATGACGATGCAAGTATAAATATAAAAGTTGCAGAGGAGTACTTGGTGAAAATGGGACGGATCGAGAAAATATTTATCACGCATCTGTACGGTGAGTCTCTGCATCTGTCTGTCCGCCACCACCCTTATCCTGCAGGCGACCATGTTTTTGGTGTCGCCCCACTTCTTGCGGGTACATGTATTCTTGATGGAGCTGGCGGTACAGCGGATGGAGAGGAAGATCCAAGAGAGTTCCTCGATGTAAACAACCAGTGAGGACGGAACTCACTTTTCCGCGTTCCGAGTCTGACGCAGTTTAGGTTCTGGAAATTTATGGACCGCTGTCACGAATGGTGACTCTGTCGCGCCATCAGAACTTGAGGAATTTGTTGTGGTGTCTGTGCTGACTCGATTAAAAATTTGGTCTTGACAGACGTCTCACGGGACCTAAACTCTCTGCTTTGCGGCCGAAACCGAGCAGAAACTGACAAGTATTTCAAGAAAATGATGGGAAGAAGCCTGGCCCAAAGATTGAGATTTTGTAAGCAAGTTTGCTCTTTCTAAAAAAAACGCGGCTGGATTCAGGGCATTAATAACTTTGAAATTACTTTGTTACAGTAGATAGCTATCGTACAACGGGAGAAATTCTTGTGTTTGAGCGACCCCCTCGATCATTTGACTTATTTCAGGCGTCGGCTGATGGGGAGCTTGATCCAAACCTACAGCGGCGCTCCAGGCTAATCGGCGAAGGACGGCATAGTTGATGCTGAATCCGCTGCCGGGCTGTACTGATCATTGCATCTACACTCTCAAATTTATATCATTCATTTTGAAATTTGCGACAACATCTTGATATGTACAGGAATAATTTATCTGGTCAGGATTCCTGCAAACCAAGTACATGTGGTGCTATAAGGGAATGAGTCTAGCGTCTGGATTTGGCCATGTTACTGTCACATCAAATACCTGTAAAACAGATGCCACCAGGGCAGAAAAAACTGTATAGGAGGGTAGGGCTCTGTTTATAATTCCCGAGGCAATTATAAACATTTTTGATTGATGAGTTTACCTTATACCGTATCGACGTCACAGTGACTTTTTTCCCGGCAGTGCCGGCACAGGCGGCACCGAGCGGCACCATCACAAATCGGGTCAATCGCTTTTGGTAAGCCCGCATCAAAAAATTGAGTGTCAAATCAAACAGTATTTACGGGGTCAACTGTAAAAGCAATCAGAATGGGCACCGAGGGTTCTGGAGGAAAATGCAATACTTGGCTGTGCTTGGCAAGTGCCTTAAAGTCCCACATTCACACATACACCGATATAAGTAATACTTACTTATGTTGAGTACCACTTTGCTGGAGGCAAAGGCATGCGTTAAATGTCCCAGCTAACCTGAACTTTCCGGGCCGGCGCCCAGCTGCAGACTGCCCAGCGTTGGCCCAGCGAACTCTTAATGCGGCAACGCCTGGCCTCTTGAACCTGGCCTCCGGTTGGCCTTCAAGTTCTGAGTCCCGGACAGCCTGAGCAACCGTTCTGGAAGCCCTGGTGGCAAGCAGTCCACCGAGAGTTCATGCAGTTTACAATGAACCCGGTGAATTCTCTAATGTATCTTCTCGGGACTTGACTTGACATCAACAATAAAATAATAATCCGCAGTCTCGGTTTTCTAATGGCAAGGAACATTTAAAAGATAACCAAAAGACGTCTTAAAACTTTGACAAAGGCACAATGGGAACAGTCTGGGTTCCAGTTAAACCGACAAGTTGTTGAATTCCTTGAACGAAGCATCATGTTTATGTCGTAACAACTAACCATGGGACATGCTATGTCGTATGACAAGCATCCTGCACACGTCACAACAAAATCCCGTGCACATGCATATGTCGCAACAAAGTGCTATGTTTGCATATGTCGCAACAATGCTATGTCTATGTTGTAACAATATGAAGCATCCTTCATCCTGCGACATAAGCATAGGACGAACGTGTCCGCGAAGAATGGATGGTACTTACGGATATCGCAGTAGCCCATGATGTTAAGTCCCGGGCTAGTCGGATCGCCGGGTATACCTTTGACCGGGTTCGGTGTACGACATGAGGCCGGGGACCATATGCATCAAGCTAGAACTTGCATTTCAGCACATACCTTCCTTCAACTGCAACTCCTATCCCAAGCCGCCTCATCCGCCTCCAGTCAGATCTCGCCCCTATTATACACCTCGTTGCCTGCAAGTCACGGTGTGTTCTGTGTCGGTCTGACCGGGTGCCAGTGCTCGCCACCAGCACTCTGCATGCCGCGCGGTATTGATACTAGTGCGAGGTCCTTGCACGCAGCACGCAGTAGCGTATTGGTGCGCCACTATCCTCCGCAGAGTCCGCACGCGTCTACCTTCGTCGTCCGCATCCTCGGTATCTTCGTCGTTGTGCTACCACCAGCCGACATACTTAGTTGACATTTGACTGGTTTTTGACTGGTTTGTGCGCTTCCCCCGGGATCCGAGTTCTCATTTTGATTGACAATAGCGCAGCCGCCATCCTCCACTACGGACTCTTTGGATTTAGGATCCACATCCGCGATCACGTGACCCAGCACAATATAACCGTCATCCGGCTCGTCTCAAGGTCGTACGCGCAGGGCGACAAATTTCTCTTGACGACCTGTTCGTCTTCGGAAGGTCTGTAATCTGCAGTCCTCTCTGTCTGCGGCTCCATCCTGCATTTCAGCGTTCGCCAACTTGCGCCGGGCGCCGCGTTACGACATAGGGCATAGGCTTGACGTTCAATGCCGGTGGGCCTGCGCGATGGTTCATGGACATAATCATATCCAGCTTATGTTTATGTCTTATGCATTCGTTGTTCGCATGTAAAGAAAGCACCGATTTAACTATGCGATTGTCCATGCCATTCACTACACGAATAACGACGACCGCATTCAGCACCTGCATATAAGGACCCCCCAAGGCAGTCTGCCTTCAGTTTCAGCGCCGCTCAAAACGTACTCCTCCGGATCCAGCATGCCGATTGCGAGAATACCCGCAGACGAAGCGGAGCGTTACGCCTCCCACACGCACCCAGTATCCGGCAGCATCGCGGCCTTCGGTCGTACGTACGATGGCGCGGCGCACTCAACGTCCTTCAACCCCCCCGTGCCGCACGCACCTGCGAATCCCGCGCAAGCATACCACCAGCAGTACCCGCCCGCGCTCAGCCCTCAGCAGTATGGATCCGGACTCAACGCGCTCAACAACGGAAGCGGGCACGTGCCGCATTCGCACTTCAGCTCAATCGCAGACGGGAACCCGTTCGCGCCGCAGAACATCATGATGCACGGCTCCTCTTTGCGCCCAAGCAACTACCTTGGCGTCCGAGGCGGCGAGCAGGCCGGCCTGGCTGGGCCAGCGCCAGCGTTTCCGTCGCTCAGGAGTGGCGGGTATCCGCAGGTCAGTACTCCGCTGCTCCTACTTCCTTTCTCTCCCACTGCCCAAATCTTCACCCTATCATTCTCAATCATCCTCTGTTTCGCCCGTCAGTACTCCGCTGCTCCTACTTCCTTTCTCTCCCACTGCCCAAATCTTCACCCTTTCATCATTCTCAATCATCCTCTGTTTCGCCCGTTACTTATTAGTCCTCTCTGATATTACGTTCGTTGTCTACTGACCCTTCTTCCTTCAGACAAATATCCACCCCATCCCTCGCTCGGCGTCGTCAGCTTCTTATTCCGCATTCGGCGGCGCGAGCGGGGCGCAGCAAGGGTCGGGGCAGAGTGCCCACGCCAGTGGCAAGTACACCCACCTTTCGGCGCGCGTTCGCGGCTAATCTGTCCTGCAAGGTATTACAAGCGCTCATGCGCCGCCGGCCTCAGCGCCATCGAAGTCCAGACTCGGAAAACGGTGCGCCGTGTGCATTTACTTCCACTGCGGCCGGATGTACACGTGCCCGGGGCGCGGAGACCGTAGACTGTGCGGCTGCGGACACAACCGCAGCGAGGTGCCCACGGGAAGGGTCACTAAGGGAAGGACCATCAAGGAGGTCCGGCAGTATAGGTGACGGTAGTAGTCTATTGTCGACCACTGGGAGCCAAGGGTTTGGTCTGTTATGCACTTGATGTCTCTGAAAATAAATTGAATGATTTATGGCGAATAAGACAGCCTGGAAACCATTCTCGTGACTCGGACCCTGTATAAGTAGTGCATGATGAAACCTAAAACGTACCTGGGCATCGTCCTCGAGTATGATCCCTCTCTCCGCTACCCAGACTCCAGTACCAGTGACGAGCAAGCGAGAAAGGTGAGTACTGGTATAGATCCCTCTCTCCACTGTTTATACTACCACTGATGCTGTATGCCAGAAGAGCTGTACTAATGAAGCTGTAGAAACGGCATAGCAACCAAAGCTGTACTACTGCAAGGCCAGTCAAGCTGTATACTAGATACTGCATAGCT